CATCACAGCCATTTTTGAAGAAAAAATAAGAAAACTAACACCATATGTTTCCATGGATACTGAACTTATGTAATTTAGTTTTAACTTTTTTTTAAGTGATTTGGAATCTGCTAAAAAATAGGATTCTAAATATGTATACATGTTTGGGTATTAATGTTAAAATGGCAATATCCATCTCAAAATGCCTGTCCATGTTCCTGCACTTAGAGACCCAATTGCAGCTTCAAATGCTAACTGTTTATTGCTACCATAACCAGAATGTCCGTATAGTTAAACCATTGTGGTGACGTCAGCCTATTAATTTACCGTGGATTCTTTTTTTAGAATCAACGCTTCCTAAATCTGCCGCTGAAATTGACTCACCAAATTATATTCAATTGTTTCCTTTGTGTGCCTAATTTCATTAAGTTTGAATTGGCTAATTTACTGAGTTCTGTTCACTAATGGAATTAATTTAAAAACTTACCTTTAATTTTGGTAATTTTTATATGCCTTCACTGGGAATCGAACCCTTCCTTGAAATCTGTTATGGGTGACTGACAACAACACATCGACGAAATCTCTCGGCTACTAATGGGTTACACTATAATAGATGTCTATTTTATATATTTAAATGAACATCTGATATACATCGGTTCATCGGACGCACAGGGCTTGTACCTTTATATAGACACAATAGGCAGTCGTATAGTATGAGTTGGTAGCCGCGAGGTTAGCATGGTTAAAATCAATGAGTTCAATATATGGATTTGTCGGTTTAGGTTCGAATCCCTGTATTCTCTCTGTTGTTCCAATTCTTAAGTTATCCTGGTTTTATTCTAATTTTGCATGTTATAGTGAATATTTTTGTAATAATAGCGAGTTTTACTGGTTTTTTTTTTATTATTATTGGCTATTTCACATGTTTGAAACAAAAATGATTACATTCTATTTGTCAATTTTTGTTTTATAAATATAGTATGATTTCATCTGTTTTACTACATAATTTTACAAAGGTTTGTTCGCAAATTCCTATGCAAGAAAATCGTGATGTGCCTAGAGTGCTAGAAAAATTTCGATAACAGACTTATTATATATACTTTATATATGCTTTTTGGTCGAGTTGTTGTCTCTTTGACACGTTCCCCATTTCCATTTTCAATTTTATTAGAAATAATTTCGAATATGTATTATTTTGTATAAACAGATAATATTCATATGCCTGGTAATATAAAGATCTTTAAAGGTAGAAGTGTTATATTGGTATTTTGTTAACCAATTAATTGTGATCTGAGATTTATCAATGCATCGTTGGACACGATAACATGGTTATTTAAACTCACTTACAATACCTTCTAATTAAGAAAAGGCTTTAATTTTGAAAAGAAATTAACACAATAGTTTAAGTTATAGATACAATGGATAAGCGTAGATTCATGAAAAACAAACCATTCGCCCTCCGGGCCTGTATTCCATGTATATGTAAGAGAATGATATCTCTTACAAACTTAGAATATTGTAAAGTGCTCAAGGCTCAAATGATCTATTCAAGAATTAGTTTCATTGTCAGTGCAATGTTTATAATTGATGCATGACTTCCTTTTTCGGCATGTCAATTATGGATAAGTATTGGTGATGTGAGGACTTTCTTATCATTTGGGAAATATTTAAAAAAAAAAAATGCGTTATAGATATTAGGTGACACAACAGTAGAAAGAAAAGGTAGGAATTGTATGTTTCCTGATTGTGAGTATGAATGTAAATCATATAAAATTTTAGTGAGGAATTATCCTTTTTTATTTACAGTTTAAATCAATTAATACATTTGAGTTACAACTAAATTTTATTTCACAGTCAATAATTTGGTCCGGCTTTTTACATCAAATACTGTTTCATAATGTCAGGGAAATGTTCAAAAATAATGCCCTTAAAAGTTTTTAATATGTTCAAAATTAAATTCCTGTTTTTTATCGGAATACATGTATTGGAAATAACTATTCTCCCCAACCGCTGATCAAGTAATCAAAGTTTTGGAAAGCTAAAGATTGAGGTTATTTTTTATCTGAAAGATTTTTTTAAATTTTTTTTTGCATTGCTTTGGTATTGTTTAATTTTATAGTAATTTGAAGTGATTAATATTTTCATATTAAAATTCACGGTACCAATTTTACTGCACTAGTAAACTTCAACTTATTTTGAGATTTTTGTTTGTTTAACAATTCAACTTTTAGTCAGTTTCAATCACTGTGTGATAAATCCTTTCAATCTGATAAATGTGCTTCGGGGCAGTTGTAACTCATTTATAGAAACTCTTTGTTTTAAACTGTAAATAGACACAAATAATAGGATAATCCCTTACTAAGAACATGATTTACATTCATTCTTCACAATTAAGAGGCATCCAATTCTACAATTTCATTGGTCGAGAGTACTTTGCTATATTCTAACTAACACAGAAGCAATGATTAAATAAAATGAACATCTGAAAGCCGAAAATCTCAAAATGTCATTGTCTCGTATTGAATATTACTGGGCAGTAAGCAGCAACTAAATTGCATGTACAGGAGTATAAGTCTCAGTTATATAGATACAATGGATAAGCGTGGATTCTTGAAAAAGAAACGAATACAGGACATCTCGGCACACTACAAACTCGGGACATGTCAAACTCGGCATAGTACAAACTCGGCCCATTAATGAAAATGGTTATGGAAATGGTTCATAAAAAGCAATGTTATATACTGATTACAATTAGAGAAAAAAAATATGAATAATTTTTTTACTGTAGGTGAGAATTGGAACACAATTCATTTTTAAGAAAACACTTATTGAAAAAAAAAACATTTTTGTATTTTTCTGGAAGTAATATATATAAAGCGACTTTTTAATTAAATTTTATTTAATAAATATCGATACTGATCAAATAATTGTTAAGGAAACAAAATGTCAAAGCGGCTTCATGGTGCCAAGAAATATATCCATTGCATGCCTAAAATTTAATGAATTTTTATTTATCAAGGCTAATGAACAATTTTCTAAACTGTTAAAAGGATATATGTAATAAAAAGAAAACATTTCAAGATCTTTCTCTTATATATTCAAACAATTGTCAACAAATTATTTGTGACTTTTTGTCCTATCAAATTTGTGACTTTCTGTCCTGTGACTTTTTGTCCTGTGACTTTCTGTCCGTTTAACCCAAAAAATTGTGTTTGTTATAAATATTATGATAACTTATGAAAAATAATTACTGTAGGGAGAGATCTATTTATTAAAGACCACTTATAAAGGGATTAGATAATCCACACAAAAAAATTCAAGTCAGAAATGAGTTTTGTAAGCAATAATATGATTATCCTTAGCTTTAGGAACTGTATTATATATATCACTAGATATTTTCGTAATAAAGGATTTTTCTTTAAAATTTGACATCCAATGATGATAAGTACAGTTCCTTTGAATAAAATAGCAGACTAAATATTCACGGAAGTGACAATTACGGAAGTAAATGGGATTAGGGGGGGCGGAGGGTTACCGGACGGGCGGAATTACCGGACACTACTGTAAATAAGATATTGAATACAAACACAAATTTTAATAGAAGACAACATAAATAAGTGACAAAATTAAATTACAAATGAAGATAAGTCTTTATTGGCACAATAATATATCTGATACATCTAAATTAATAAATATTATCTTTAATGGGCCGAGTTTGTAATATGCCGAGTTTGTAATGTGCCGAGTTTGCACTATGCCGAGTTGACATGTGCCGAGATGTCTTGCTTCGGTTAGATTGACACTTGATCATGCATGGTTAATGATAGGTCAGTTTCCCAGAACTATACTGATACAGGAACAAATTTTAAGTCTGAGGTTTGTATATACAGTAAATTGAGAAATTAAAGGTTAAAGTTAAGGTCAGTATATTGCTTCTGTATACAACTTTTGTCAATCTAAGTGCTACATAACAAAAGTTCTGCACCAAACACAAATCAGACAATGGTTTACTGTCGAAGGGGTCAAATTCAAAACCAGAGTGACTTGACTTAATATATGACACATCACTTGACGCATCAGCATAGCAAGTTTTGACAACCAAAGCTCTAAAGTGCAAGAGTTATGCGCAGAACACAAATCAGACAATGTTGTACTATCATAGGGATCAAAGTAAAGGTCAGAGTGACCTTACTTTAGTATATGATACACCCCAGCCATGATCATGGTGATGCAACTGTATACCAAGTTTGGTCAACGTACATTTTATTTTACAAACGTTATGATCCGTACACAAATTGGATAATGTTTTACTATGTCATAGGGGTCACAGTCAAGGTCAAAGTGATATGACTTTGTTATATGACACCCCCCCCCCCCTTTTTCACCCTAAGCCCATGATTTATCTGCATACCAATTATGATCAACCTATGAGATCTATGGTACAAAAGTTATTCACCGGACACAAAGCGAGACAGTCCGACAGACAGACGGACATGGTGATTCCTATATACCCAATTCCCTCAAATTTGTTTGAGAGAGGTTACCGTTATTTTGTTTGCTGGGTAAACATGGTAAGGATGACACCAGTGAGAGTTGAGTCAGTCCAATTTGTAAAACATATTGCCCTTTATAGACGTCTTTATATATCTAAATATTGTTTTCAATATTATATATAGTTTGTTCAACACATACATTTGATAAAAGTTCACTTTTGTCATCACACAGTTTTCAATTAAGTCAACATTAATTCAAATCCTTTGTAATTAAAACAGTTATATTTATCTGACATGTGACAGTGTAGTAAATGAATGACATTATAAAACAATATAAATAACTTTCATAAAACAGATAACAAAATTAATCCTTAAAAGCTGTCTGTATTGAACAATAAGCGGTTTAGTCCAAATAACTATGACGTCTTAAGCGGTTATGAGTGGAAAATAAAATTAAAATGAAATCCAAATTTCCAGTCCAACTGTTAGTTTCACTTTCAAAGAACTCCATTGAAAGTGAAAGTGAAAGTGACAGAATGCTTCTCGAAATTTATATTTATACTGGGTCAATATGTTATGTCCCAGATTTATGGCAGTAAGTTGATAGATTCAAGGTCATTAAGGAGTGTTTTGCTGGTCTTAAAGAGTGAAAACAGTAATTCGAAGATAGTGGAGGAATAATACTACAACAGAAGAGAACAGTAAGTCAATATTATCTGATTATTATCCTTATTTTAAAGATGGCGGAGTCTGAGTAACATAGAAAAAATGTTATTAAATACACAGTACATGTCTCACTGATACGTGCAAAACCAATGCTGAAGAATTAATCACAGAGTCAAATCCGCTTTCTACTTATCCCTTAGGGGCAATCACATTTCCCTGATGAAGGATCTTACATGTTTGCCAATGCGGCTTAACACGGGTTAGCCCGATTGGTACTTCCGGTAAAGACACATTCGCCTTATTTGATCAACTGTCGGTGTTGTATAGCCACCCATGCCAGTTTTTCCCCCGAGCGGAGTTGGAACCTGTACTTTACACTTCTGACTTCTACTACAACACCGCCAAGCATTGCACAGAGTCTTATCCCCTCCTATATATATATTGTATAATGATACGATGGTGGTGTTGTAATGCTAAAATAATTAAAAGAATGATTACCATCCTAGAATTCATAATTAATTTCCTACTGACGTCGCCGACGTTACTACAAGAGGGGTAAAATCAACTTTTCGTGCTACTAGAGGGGAAAATTGGCCTGGTCCTGATTCCCCCCCCCCCCTCGATATGTTGAGGGGGAAAACTGGGACCATGCCAATTTTTTCGAGGAGAAAACTAGATCGATCAAGTCCCCAGCCCCCCCCCCCCCCCCCCCCCCGGAAAATTGGCATGGGGGAATATTGGCTATAGGACACCGGCGCACATAAGCATAAGCCGCCGTCGCCGACCAATCGGCAATAATTCAGTCGATCGAGGGGTCGAATTAATAGAACATTTATTCTGGACTTGTTCGTATTCGTATATATATATATATATATATATATCAAAATTATTGAAAACCTTTACTCCTGGATATTTGAAAACATAGAAATAAAACTAACTTTAAATAAAGATTTGGTTTTATTTGGTATTCTAACGAAAATCGATAAAAATTACATAAGAAACTGAATAATTCTGTTAACAAAATTCTATATTTATAGAAGCAAATTATCAGTGGAACAAACCAATATGATAGCGCTAAAAATTATTTAAAAGAAAAGTTATTAATAGAAAAATATATTTGTTTGAAAAATAAAAGACTCAGTAGGGTGGAGAACTGCAGGAACCCCTAGACTCCTTTATTGTCATAACAACAAAGATAAATAAAGATCTATATGTCTGTTGTATAGATTGAAAATATGTTCTATATCCACTGAAGCAACCTTTGTCTTGCAGTCATATTCTGCTATATGTGAGGAAATCAATTTTACTATATCTTTCTTAAAACATACAATTTACAGTTTACTCAAATTGTGCTGTAAAACAGAATTTAAAAGTTGTATAGAATTGATTTAATTCATAAACTCGGTCATTTTATAACGGTCACTTTAGATTTTTACCAAAACAAATATTAATAACCATTAAAACCCTAAGCCAATGTAAATATCTTACATATCGAATCCACACGTAATTATGTATGGTTTAAACTGTAAACTGATTAATTACCTGATGAGATCAAATAAAGCAAGTGTTCACCAGTTGGGTCAAGTATTTGATCACGTTTGTGTTTCTAATAATAAAGATAAGAGGAGAAAAGATGGAATTTATTAAAGAAATTATAATAAACTTGAGGTCTTATTTATATCTAGTAAACTAAACTGAACCTCATTTAACTTTCTAACGAAACCAGTATATACGAGGCCTAAATAGTTTATGTATTACCCCCGCATTTAGGAAAACAGATATAATAAAAGTAATACAGAAACTTTGCATAGATAATTCATGAGAAAACAAACTTTTTGTGAACAAAAAGAAATCTTTGAGATATAAAATTTTAAAATGAAATATGAGAAGATAGGTTTCATTATATGTTTTAAGAAAATCCAAAGAAAAAATGGTGTAACCGAACGTGTTTACATGTTACAAGTATAAAAATATGTGAGTTATCTCCCATTAAATGGCTAAGTTAAATAATTGATTTAAAAAAAAAGAAATATTTGGTATTTGTTAAAAAAATCCCGAATAATTCAATAAATCACACGTAATTAAATTGATGTATGGTTTAAACTTGAAACCGATTACCTGATGGAATCAAATAAAACAAGTGTTCACCAGTTGGGTCAAGTATTTGGTCACGTTTGTGTTTCTGGTAATAAAGATAAGAGGAGAAAAGAAGGAAATTATTAAAGAAATTATAATAAACTTGAGGTCTTATTTATATCTAGTAAACTAAACTGAACCTCATTTAACTTTCTAACGAAACCAGTATATACGAGGCCTAAATAGTTTACTGTATTACCCCCGCATTTAGGAAAACAGATATAATAAAAGTAATACAGAAACTTTGCATAGATAATTCATGAGAAAACAAACTTTTTGTGAATAAAAATTAAATCTTTGAGATATAAAATTTTAAAATGAAATATGAGAAGATAGGTTTCATTATATGTTTTAAGAAAATCCAAAGAAAAAATGGTGTAACCGAACGTGTTTACATGTTACAAGTATAAAAATATGTGAGTTATCTCCCATTAAATGGCTACTAGTAAGTTAAATAATTGATTTAAAAAAAAAGAAATATTTGGTATTTGTTAAAAAAATCCCGAATAATTCAATAAATCACACGTAATTAAATTGATGTATGGTTTAAACTTGAAACCGATTACCTGATGGAATCAAATAAAACAAGTGTTCACCAGTTGGGTCAAGTATTTGGTCACGTTTGTGTTTCTGGTAATAAAGATAAGAGGAGAAAAGAAGGAAATTATTAAAGAAATTATAATAAACTTGAGGTCTTATTTATATCTAGTAAACTAAACTGAACCTCATTTAATTTCTAACGAAACCAGTATATAAGGCCTAAATAGTTTCTGTATTACTCCCGCATTTAGGGAAAACAGACAAAATAAAAGTAATACAGAAACTTTGTTTCTACTTTTATCAAGTTAGTCAACTTATTTTAATTAATTTTTAAAAGTTTAACTTTTTAACTTTATAATGATAAATAACGTTTACGGTGGACATTGCACCAGTCAACCCGGATAAGGCGTCTGCGGTCAAGTCATTGATTTAAAATGCCTCTGTGATTGTGTCAACGACACAAGAGTTGATACAACAATCAACACAACAACAGACAAAAATGCTTACACAGCAGCCCTCACAGCAGCATACATTTCCACCTAGACCAGAAGATTTCGACAAACAACAACTTAAATCTAGAACGTCAACGACAACAGCAACTGCAACACTAACAGCTACAACCACATGTCCCAATTCATTCAGCCAACAAATTGTCACCGAGAACCAGAGTCATATGGGAAACGTTTCCCTCGGGTAGTAATACACAGTTAGAAGTTTAGTTTCGCATTATGGCCATGGTGAATTTTTTAAATATGAAAGTTTTTGTACAAAAAAATAGATTTTTAGATAGTTGAAGAATAATATAGCCTTCGAAGTGGGTTTATATGAACATTTAGATTGGTTTTAGCATGTATTATAGGCCATTTTTCTGTTTGACAGTCCGTATTTTCCAATCCGTACCGCCCATAGGTCCAGAAATTATTGTAGTGTTTATCAACAAAGATTTGACGCTCGATCTTTTCAATTCAATTTTATGGAAAAACGAGCAGAAAGGCATATGAATTTTTTGGGATCTCTTGATAGATAAATGTCTATGGTTTCAGGAAAGGTATCACTCTAATTGATTGAAATTTTCCTTTGGACCAAATTTTGGAGACTTTTGTGACATTTTCACCCCCCTTTTTGCAATATTTTGTATCAAATAAATGCAGATTGTTGCCATGGTTACACCAAAAAGATATTATATTTCACCTTTTTAACTATTGAAATCTATGGAAGATGCTCTTTCCAGAAATATACACATGCATAACACAAATAGTAATCCTTATTTATTAGATAGGAAGGAAAAGAGGGTGGTTAAAAATTATGAGTGCCAATTTTAAGATTTTTTCCTAACTGTGTATTGCTACCTCAAGCCTTTTAAAAGAAGGGAGAACATCCCATAAAATTCAGGTCTCTGTTTATCAAATACTGTACTTTGTTTAAGTTCACAAAAAACGCCATTGTCAATGTTTTCCTCTTATACAAGCACAGTTCAAGATTGGTTTTTCTTCTTAGAAGAAGGCGCCAGACGAAATTTACATCGACTAAAAAAGGCTCCAAAGGCGCAACCTAGAGTACAGCCTACAAAATATTAAAAACAACAACAATCCGAAGCGTTCGATGACTACATCAATCGAATCATCACCCAAACTGCAGACAGCAAAGTGCCGGAAAAAATTCTGGTTAGGATAAAGGTTGGAGGGCTTTGGCCAGATCTTGCCGCTATCGCAATGCCACAATTACCAAAAACCCACCAACAGTGTTTGGCTGTAGCAACAATAGCAGTGGAAACGGAAACGGTTAAAAAAATGACAACGGCAAAACCGATTGAAATGTAATAGCCTAGGTAGCCAACACAGTCAGTATAATGGACAGACTGCCGACAATGTTACAGCAAAATTGAACAGTAGTGTAGCAGCAATGTCAGCCCTATTAACATTGGCATTTCTCATTTCCATGGGGATATTAGCCCCGCCCCTCAGTATTGGTCTATTGACTTTTATAATGTTTTGCATAGTTGACATGCTCAAGTTTGTGGTTAGATCAATTTAGGATTAACCGATGTGAGGTCAATCATATTTGGTAAACACTTTTATTAGAATTTGCAAGTCTAATTTCCATAGAGATTATATAGGTTGTTGCAACATATACAAAGTTGTGTTATAAATCTGCTCAGTATTCTGTGTTTGATTTATAAATATGACGAAAAAGGGGTAGTCCAAATAATTATGACGTCTTGAAAGGCTATTTTAATTTTTTTTCTGTGACGCCTTCCTCCGACGTCATAACGCTGAAGCCATTTTTTTCGTCTGCACTTTGAGAGAGAATTTTTCTGCGGCGGAACTTTGAGACCCAATTTTCCCATGAAATCTTTATT